TCATGCACAAGGGAGGAAAAGTAGAAACACATTAAACACTAATATGGGCAATGCAAAGAATTTTAAAACATAAGGAAAGGTGGATGAGAGAGTTTGTGTCCATTTGTATGGGTGTGGAATTTCCAAACCAATGGCTCAAATTTGTTTTTGGATGTTCGGAAGAATGAGAGAGAGAGAGAGAGAGAGAGAGAGAGAGAGAGAGTATATACACACATGCCTCACAAAGATTAATAATCGTCTTAGAAACTTCTACACAGAGGATGAAAAAACAGTAAAATCATTTAATCAACTGTAAGACTACAATTGGCAAATGGGGAGAATTTTAAAACAAAACTTGTTATTGCCTAGTGACGAGCATTAAACAAATTGAATTCCCTAAAAAAAAAGGAGCATCTTGATTGTGGAAATGTCAAAGTCGGAAAAATGCCTAATTGACATATTCATGAACGCTTTGTATATTGTTGATTCCTCCAAACCATTGTATTCTTGAACAGCGAACCACCAAACACGTTCGTAGTAGCAGTTCCTGCAGCCAGACCCCCTTTCGTTTTGAATTGCTTGCTGCTGTAAATGAACTGCAAGGCCTTTCCATTCCCAATAGGAAATTCCCTGCAAACTAGTAGTTCTTCACATCAGCAGATATCTTATTAACGTCATGCACAAGGGAGGAAAAGTAGAAACACATTAAACACTAATATGGACAATGCAAAGAATTTTAAAACATAAGGAAAGGTGGATGAGAGAGTTTGTGTCCATTTGTATGGGTGTGGAATTTCCAAACCAATGGCTCAAATTTGTTTTTGGATGTTCGGAAGAATGAGAGAGAGAGTATATACACACATGCCTCACAAAGATTAATAACCGTCTTAGAAACTTCTACACAGAGGATGAAAAAACAGTAAAATCATTTAATCAACTGTAAGACTACAATTGGCAAATGGGGAGAATTTTAAAACAAAACTTGTCATTGCCTAGTGACGAGCATTAAACAAATTGAATTCCCTAAAAAAAAAGGAGCATCTTGATTGTGGAAATGTCAAAGTCGGAAAAATGCCTAATTGACATATTCATGAACACTTTGTATATTGTTGATTCCTCCAAACAAAGAAAACAAAATTTAATAGACAAGTGAAATGTAACTTCCAAAACATCTAATAATCACTCACAATTCCAACCAAATATTTTTAAGGTCAACTTGAAAGAGAAGGGCATCTGATGCTAATATGAACTAAAAATCCTTTTGCAATAAACAGAGGAATATAACCTGTTTCTAAATGCAAAAGATGTCTTATATATCTGCATAGTGGATTCCATCAATTCGTTATTGAATGGGACAAACTTGGGCTTTCCCTGAGTGGTGCCAGAACTGCAAGAAACAAAGAATTGACAGACGCTATGAACTTCACATCTAAACAATTTTTATCAGAAAAAAAAGTCACTAAAAAAAGCATCAAGAAAATAACAATTAATTACAAGTACCTTAATGTTATTGAACGGGACAAACTTGGGCTTTCCCTGAGTGGTGCCAGAACTGCAAGAAACAAAGAATTGACAGACGCTATGAACTTCACATCCAAACAATTTTTATCAAAAAAAAAAAGTCACTAAAAAAAGCATCAAGAAAATAACAATTAATTACAAGTACCTTAATGAGATGGTTGTTATTGGTTTTCCAGTAAGGATGGGGGAAGTATCACCATCCACCATTCTCTGAATGTAAGGTTCCAAATCCTTGTGAGTGACGAGGGTGACAAAAGCCTTGAAACTCTCACGGTCAGTTCTTCCATTAAGACCCCATTTCTTTAAGTACTCTGTGCTACCATTTTCTTCCAGTATTTTCTGCAGGGTCTCTTTCTAAACTCTCTCAGCATCGTTTGTTAGCATCTCGAATTCTTCTATGACTTCCTCAGGGTCAAATTTTGTGTCCATCTTCTCCAACATCCTCACAGACCTTGAATGGCTTGCTACAATTATCAAAGGACTTATTGAGAAATACTTAATATGTAATTCAACACAAAACCAATTTTGAGAAAGTCTACATGACTTCTAAAACATGAGCATACAATTCGAAGAAGCAATTTCGACAAAATGTAGAGAACATAGTAACACTATTTCACTTTTGCAAAACACTGCAAAAAAAAAAAAAAAAATTTGATTGATAAAAAAAGAGGAAGAAATAACACAAGCCTTTTAGAGAGAGAGAGAGAGAGAGAGAGACGTTAGTTTATATTTTCTTAGCTCATTTTTGAGTTGGAAGAATATGGAATGATGGAAGATTCTTTGGGGGTTCGCATTATATAGAAGTTCCAGAATGCCGTCCACCAAAAGTGCCAAATTGTTTCCAAATATTACCCCCTGAGTTTTGTTTGAATTACGAAAACACCACTGTTGTTGTCTAATTACATATTTGTCCTTCAAGAATGCTTGATATTACGATATGACCGCTGGAATTCTCTAAATTGTGGGGACCTAAAAGCGAAGACACGTAAATATTGGAAATTTTGGATAGAGTTGGATTCCAAATAAATATTAGGGAAATTTTGATATTAATAAATTACTATGTGTGGATCCCACACTTAAGTGAGAGATTTGGTAGAAAATTTGATAATTTATTTGGGGTCTATAGCATTTTTCTTTTGGATATGGTTTGTTGAAAAAAATGGTTTTTTGGTGACTTTAATTAAATATTAAAGTGGGTCCCAACCATCTACTGTGTTGGATCCAAGTGGGTCTAGATACTTTGCAATGAGATCTTTACACCACAAATAGAATGGCCAAAAACCATTGAGATTTGAATGAGAAATTGCCTCATGAAATTAGCTTCATGAAAGAGTTAATGGGGTTTGTAACTTCTGCCTTTATTATAGAGTTTAATAGAGCATTAATGGGGTTTGTAACTCCTGCATTAATGGTGTTTGTAACTTCTGCCTTTATTGCAGAGGTTAATGGTGCATTAGTGACCAGCCATAAAGGCTGGAGGCTTCTCCTCTCTACCCTATACATGTATAAATTGAGACCCTCCTGTTAAGTCCCAAACACAGAAATTTTTGCTTCCTTTTTACAAGTCAGTTTGCTAGAAAGTTCCTACTGTGAGAGAGTACTGCTATCGTTTCGTTCGCTAAGCTAGACAGAAAGTGCTTCTACCATAGCTGATTTTTGACCATCGTATCCTGAGAGACAGACACCAGAATTCCTCAAGCACTCGGCCCGTGAGGCGGCGAAATCTGTTTTAAGGAAACTGCTACCGTGCAGGCTTCGGTTTGCTTCTTACTACTAGTTTTATTTTATTATGAATTTCTGTAAATTTTAATATGTTCTTATTCTGAAATTCAAAGTGGTTGTTCAATATGAATCTATTTATTTGATTTAATTACACAATTTCCACAACATTGTTTGCTTAAAGGGTAATATTAGAGATATTAAATTTTCTACCAAACAAATGACCAAATATCTCACATGGGTGTGGAGTTTGCAATTTAGTGGACCCCATATCCATGTAAGATATATAGTCATATATTTGGTAAAAAATTTGAGACCTATAGCATTTTCCTTGCTTAAAATATTAAGGGTGCACTTTCTAAATTTTTAATCGCATAATAAATTCTTATTGTATAATAAATAATTTATTTTAATTATTTAATTATTAAATTAATTAAATAATTTTTAATGATGTCAAGTAATTTTATTTTTTGTACAAAAGGGTAATTAGAAATTTTATTTTTTTTTTCTATTAACTCTATTAAATAATAAACTTTGATAAGAATGTATTTATAATTTTCAAAATTATAAAGACTAATTTGTATTTCAAACAAATTCCAGTAATTCATTCATAGGATATTTGCAATACGGTAAATGTTACTTAGATGGAAAAATATTTAAAATTTACTAAATCTCAATAGTATTTTTCAAATAAATTATGATAAGAATGCATTTATAATTTTCAAATGATGTTCAAAAACGCTACTGTCCGCTGATATAAAACACGCTCGCTCGAGCGATGCCTTTGTCGCTCGAGCGACCAGACACAGAAAACTCTCGCTCGAGCCAAGAATCTCTTGCTCGAGCCAAAAACTCAAAAGTGCGCTCGAGCGAAAGAATGCTCGCTCGAGCTAACAACTCGAACCCTCAGGTCTACAACCAGACGCACGCTCGAGCGACAGACCTCTCGCTCGAGCGAAGAGCAAACCAGACCGCTCGAGCCAAGAAACACAACTCTCAGGTCCAGAACCTGGCTCGACCCACCAGACACAAACTCAACTCTCGCTCGAGCGACCAACTCCTCGCTCGAGCGAAGGTCCAAAAATCTGGGCAGCAACACTAGGCTCCCAAACACAACCAACCTGTAACAAACCTGCCCAACACATCCTATAACTCAATACGAAGTAAAAAGGATGCAAACAAGATAATAAACAACTACCAACATCCACGGACACATGTCCGGAGCACTATTCAACAAGGGTAAAACCCGGGATCGCTATATATATTATTTCCAACTAGACAAATATAAAAAAAATGAAAAATTAGAATATATATGTATATATATACACATATAATTCACCCCAGCAAAAAATATATCACTACATATTTAATAATTTTTTTTAACTACACATAAAAAATAAACAATCACCAATTACCCACCAACAATCATCCATCATTCACCCATCATTCATTCACCAACAACCAACTACCAACAACCATCCATTATTAACCCAGCATTTATTCATCAACAACTACTCACCCAACAATCATCCATTATTCATCCACCCACCCAACAACCACCCATTATTCATCTACCCATCCAACAACCATCCATTATTCATCCACCTACCCAACAACCATCCATCATTCACCGCCCACAATTTTCTCCATAAATATAACATAAGGTTTTCTACAATTTTCATATTCACTTACCCATCATTTTCATATCTTCTAAACTCTCTCTACTCACCCAGTAGATTTTCTACAATTTACATATTCACCCACTCACTCATCTACCTACAATGAACAATTTGACTAAAGTCATATTTAATGAAGATTTTGATGAATCTTCATCATCTGATGATGATATCATCATAATGCAACTGTTCACAGCGCAACAACAAAAAATACAGACGTTAAGCTTAAACCAACCAACCAGACATGTTGGTTCCACAAGTGGTCGTCGATACATTATTTGTGAAAGGGTCGAAGGCAACGAACAAATTTATATAGATTATTTTGAAGATAATCCTGTCTATTCAGAAGAATACTTCCGAAGATGTTTTCGAATGAGGCGGTCATTGTTTGTTAGTATCTTACATGATATTCAAGAAGTGAATACGTACTTTATCCAAACTCGTGATGCCACTGGTGCTCCTGGATTATCCGGTGTACAGAATATGATTGTAGCGCTTTGGATCCTACACTACGGTGTGCCTACGGATGCTGTAGACGAGTACATTAGAATCGGCGAAAGTACTGCAATTGTCGCCTTGAATTTTTTTTACCAGATCAATTGTTGCTACCTATGAAGCCGTTTACATAATATCCCCAAATGAAGCAGATATCGCTAGATTATTGCAAGAGGGAGAGCAATGCAAGTTTCCTAGAATGTTAGGGAGTTTGGATTGTATGCACTGGCGTTGGGATAAATGTCCAACTATCCAAGCCGGTGCTTACACTAGACACTACCACAAACCAACAGTTGTAGTCGAGGCAGTTGCCACCTGTGACTTGTGGATTTGGCATGCTTTCTTTGGCATGCCTGGCTCTCTAAATGATATTATTGTTCTTGACTGGTCGCCTTTATTTGCTAAATTAACTAGAGGACGTGCCCCTACTACCAACTACACCATCAATAATCACAGGTACACCATGGGGTATTATCTTGCAGATGGTATCTATCCTCGTTGGGCAACGATTGTGAAAACAATATCTTAACCTCAAGGTGCAAAGAGACAACTATTTGCGAGGATGCAGGAGGCATGTCGGAAGGATGTCGAAAGGGCATTTGGAGTGCTCCAAGCACGATTTAATATTGTTAGAGTTCCAGCTAGAGGTTAGAGTGATGAGGATCTATACTATATCATGAAGACGTGCATTATTTTGCACAATATGATCATTGAAGACGAGTGTGATATTCCAGAAAATGAACGCAATGAAGCACAACTTGAGACGAATACTAGTAATACCTGTTGTCAAGTGTCATGCGATCCGAATGAGGAGTATGCTCAATTTATGTTGAATCGACAGAGGATTAGATCTACTGAAGCCCATAACGCAATTCGTAATGATCTAATTGAAGACTTGCGGTCCCGAGCTGGAGAGTTAGAGTAAGTTTGTATTTTATCTTTTTAATGATAGTTAATGTTAGTTATTGTCCTTTTATTATAATAAAATTATCTTCATTTAATGTTAGTTAATGTATTTTATCTTTTTATTGCCTTCATTTGAAAAAATATATTTATTTTTTTACATTATACTTTATTGAAAAATTTAAATTATAATAAAAATTAGTCAACATTATACATTGCAAAAATAATATTACATCATTTGTAGAAAATACTCAAAAATAAAAAAAAATAAAAAAAACTTGAAATTTCATTACAAAATAAAAATTAAATTACAAATAAAGACTAACAATTACATCAAAAATTAAATGACATTGCAAAATTTAAAAATACATTATCCCGTAATTATTCATCAGGAGGCATGGGGAAATAGTAATTTAGGCTGCTGACATTTAAGGACCACTTGGCGAAAATCTCATTTTTACGCATTGTGTAATACGCTTTCGTTTGAGGGTCCAAAAGAGAAATATCAGTAGTCATTATCTCATGTTCTTGTTTTCTTATCTCAAGTTCTTTCATTTCCTGCAGTGCTTGAATCATTTTTTCCTTTTCTTTCATCTTTTTTATTTTCCTTCTCAGCAAGGTGTTGGTTAAATGTCTCCAATTGTATGCTCATTTTTTGGACTTCAGCTTCAATCACTTGATTTCTCTGAAATAATTCTTTTGAAGCTTTCCTATCCATAGGCTTTTTACCCCTTGCAGTGACACTGCCCTTACCAACAGTTAGATTGTTACCAACACTTGGACTAGTGCCATGTTTAAGAGAAATGTAGTTATCCATAGGGGAATCGAGGGCTGAATCAGGGGAAAACGGTGTATGTATCCTTGACTTCACCGTGTTCGTAGGAGCTAAATCTTGCCACCTGATATTGTTTTGCAAGATTGGCCAACAATGTTAAAAAACAAAATGTTTATTTTCATCTTGATGGTATAACAATTTTGCTTGAAACATCTGTATCAATAAAATATTAAATTAATTAATTAGTTAAATTTTATATAAGTCAAAATAAAAAAAACTAACATAATAAATGAAGATGAAATCTTACTATATCAACTTGAGACATCCCACTTGGGTGTAGATTTTCGACTAGCACTAAGCACCCATAAAATTTGTTGCAACAATTCATGATTACACCCCTTCGAGATGAGATAGATACTTGTATTCTTGAGTGATCATTCTGCAATGAACAATAATTTTCAAAAATTCTTCCACAAAAATGAGCATGAGATTGTGAATTCCCAACAATTGGGTCTTCAGTAATGTGACACCAAGCTCTACAAATTGCCACATCTTCTGGAATGGTGAATGATTTTTCTTTCTTTATTTTTGATGAACCTTGTTGGAACAATCTTCTGTGTATATAAAATAACTTGAAATAAATTCAAAAAAAATAAATAAATAACATACCAGATTTATTTATCGAACCGAATTAAAATTAAGACCAAGTCGAGTGTGTGACACTCTGTCCTTAAGACAAATTCGCCCCGCTACGGTACTTACGGTTGAGTGGCGTCTATCTCCCAGGACACAATGATCTTCACAAACTGTAGTAGTACTCCAAACAATTTGTTCGGCGAACTAGAACCTGTGTTCTATACTCTCTTTGTTATTTTTCCTAAAACTAGAATGAAGGAAAATGCACTAAATAAAAGTTGGACAGCAATATAAAGAACGCAGATTGAATTTCGGGATCAATCAAAATTGGAATGGGGCTGCCTTTATATAGGCTTTGTTGGCACCTATTCAATTTGAATAGAAAAGGTATGAAGAAGGGACATAACCCTTCCTTTAAAATAAAGAGACACCATAAAAGGTTTGCACCCTTTCATTCAAATAGAGGTTTGACCCTTCCTTTAAAACAAAAAGATACTATGAAAGGTTACACCCTTTCGTTCAAAATGGAGTCTATTTCAATTCACAACTACCTCTTTATAAATTTTCCAACAGGTAATGTGTTCCTTCCGGTTAGCACCCGATAAAGTAGGCAGATGTGCTATATAGAGTTCATGCGTTCCTTTCGGTTTGCACTTGGTAAAGCATGTTGTACTATATAGAGGAAATATGTTCCTTTCGGCTAGCAACCAATAAAGTAGGAAAATGTGGGGCTTGACGACCACGATGGTGATGTAGGGCTTAAAAGTTGCTGTTGATGTTTAATTTTCAAAATTGTACCATGTGAGACACACATTGTGTAGCGTGATGACTGGTATCGCTCCACTTGGTTAACTTGGACGAATTAGAAAATTATTGCCTACTAATTACAATATACTCTCTTAAATTATGACTCATTTATATTTTATTTTTAAAATTTTAAAACTTAATAATTAATTATCTCAAAATATTATATTATTATAGTTAATTTTTTTTTGTTACGATTATGTTAGGTATTTACACAATTATATCATAGTATGGGGGCGGGGTTCAGGTGGAACGGGATGGAAGAAACAAAACTTTCCCCACCCCACTTCTTAATTGGGGCGGGAAAAATCCGTGCGAGGCAGGGTAGGAGATATGGATGTGGAGCGGAGTGGGGAAAATGACCATCCCTATGTCATAGGTAAGGCAGATGACACATTTATTGAATTTTTAAAGCAATAACTCCCTTATCTAGTGATCCTATTTGCATTTTGCCACTAAGATAGATGAAACAAAATACAAATGAGATCCCCAGAAAAATGGTATTATTATCCTAAAAAAATCAATAATGGGTATTATTATCTAAAAAATCAATAAGTGTGTGATGTGCTTCATACAAGACATGATTATGTTTAAATCCCTAACAGAATCTTAATGATAAATGCCAAGTGTAATATTTGAGGATGAATAATATCATTTATTTTATAATTTTTCATCAGCTTTACTACAATTTTTGGGGTTGTCCTCTTGGGTGCCTTCATGTATGGTTTGCATAAGTGGAGAGCACTTTAAAGAGGTAGGTAAGAAGGTTATGTTGAGGGTCCGGGAAGGTTGCCGAAAAATTCAAATGTAGTTGAAAAAGTCGCTGGAAACTTTAAATGTCCACCGGAAAATTCAAAGGCTAGCCAGAAAATTTGAAGATCTTCGAAGAGCACTAGAAAATCCATATTCTCCAAAAATGATGAGAGAGGCTTAGATTCTTCAACGATTGGAAGTAGAAACACAATAGCAAAGAGATGATGGAGATAAAAGATTAGGTAAAGAAGAAGATAAAGTAGTTAAAGAGAGAATAATAACAATGCTCTTCCATGGATCACCCACTTTTACTCTCAAAGTAGATAATGGAGAAGGGAAATTAGTTCTCTTCCAAAAAGTGTCTCTCCCAAAATCAACTCCTTGTAAAGCTATGGGTGAGTACTATTTATAGACACATAATGATGTGGAATGGAGCCCATGTGCAAGGCACATAGAGAATATTCTCTCTAACCACATTGTCTGAGGAGGTGACCTCTTCAAGGATGAGAAAAATTCCGAAGAGGAGATCAACCTCTCAGCGAACACCCTTTTTCTTAGCCACACCTAACCAATGATCCCCAATCATCCCAAAGGGTCAAGGGTAGTCCCAGAGGTAGTTCAAGAGAACGTCTTGCTGCAAAAATTATTGAATCTCAGGGACCTCTTAAATCATGGCACCTTGACCTGGGTATAGGTTAGTTTAACCAAAGAGTGAATTTATCTCCAATAACCGTCCTTGGGATCAGGTCCTTTGTTTGGACTCCGTCATGCCCATGGTTCTGGTGCGTAGATCCCGGAAAGCTCCGAGCCCGCAAGTGTTCTAGGACTCATTGACAGAGCGACTTCTAGATTGTGTTCGAATCCATTCGAAGCCAAGCGCTTCAGATCTCTAGGTTCGTGGATCCGACCCCTTTCAAGTCCGAGCTCAAATAGGTCTCTAGGTTCGTGGATTCAAACCCTTTCGAGATTAGAGTAATCCAGCCCATTAGATAATGATATCTATGGGCCCACTAATTTTACACTTTCTGACTGGGCTCCGATTAGGCTTAATCAATTAGATGGGCTCGAGTTAACTCCTTTTACAGGGTGTTTACTAGATGTATTAATGTTTTAGCATTTTAGGGTTTCTTTTACTTAACAAGTGACGATGATTATTATTAACATATTCCAAATATGAGAAATCTAAATAATTTATGGTTCCATGGTTTAATTTTTGCACATCACTATGGAGAGAAAACAGGATAATGGGCTTTGATATGGCTGATACAATGGACACTTCAAGAGACAACTTGCAAGAAAATATGCAGTCATCAGAACTACCAATTATTGGCCTTGATAAAGTATTAGTCGCTACAGATAACTTCAGCACAACAAACAAACTTGGGAAAGGAGGATTTGGACCTGTTTATAAGGTAATTGTGATGCCCTGTACATGGACCATTTGACATATATGTGATGTACTAACTAATAAAAACTGTGGACTAGGGAAGTTAGAAGATGGGCAGCAAAGTGGCAGTGAAAAGACTTTCAAGGCATTCTGGACAAGGCACAGAAGAGTTCAAGAATGAGATTGTTAAGTCCATTTGTGTCGTCAATTTCATGAACAAACATATTTTCAGTTGTAATTTTGTGCCTGTGGTTTAGCTAGACCACTCAAGCGAAGAATTTGGTTTCTTAGTACTTTAGGTAGTTTATAAAAATACTGAGAGTTTTGTTTTTACACTTGAGTGAGCTTTCCATTACTTGACCAAAGGCACTTGAGGCTTTTCTGCGTACAGGGCACACCGCTCAAACGATGGTCTCCTCGACCCTGTTCACCATAAAGCTATGCGAAATACAATTCTAGGGTTATGACGTCCAGATCTACATCCTGAGAGTTTGTGATTGCTTCCAGAGCTTTTTACTTATTTCCTTTGATGTCTTTGTGAGAGTATCTCATGAGTTAAATAGATCACAACAAAGGGGTTGTTTGATCATTTTATTCAAGAGAGTTTGTTCGGTGGAGTTCGAAGCGACTCATTGTCATATATTCGACATGGGTTTTGTGTATTCAACATTAGACTAATCAATTCCGAGCCGAAGGCGTTGGTAAAAGAGGCACAAGTTGTGGAAGACAATTTTATAGGGTGTTGGGTAAATTGTTTGGTAATGTTGTGTAATTTCATTCTTCATAGTGGATTGATTAGTGGCATTTCGCCCGTGATTTTTTAATCACAATTGGAGGTGCTCCAACTGTGATTTTTTCTATGTAAAAATCGTTTGTGTCGATTTATTAATTGTGAAACAACAATATAAATCACTTTCGTACTTGCTAGATAATTTAGATTGTTAGTTTTCATTGTTTGGGAATTGTTGCAATTCAATCTATTTCGAATTACGAATCATGTAGGTTTTTTAGAGATCATATCAATCTCCAAACATCAGCACATGAATCTTGTTAGGCTCTTGGGTTGTTGCATTGAAGGGGAAGAGAAGCTATTGGTTTATGAGTACATGACAAACAAAAGCTTGGACACTTTCTCATTGGTTGGTTTTACATGGCACTTTTTTCCTTGTAAAATTAATAAAAATAAACAACAAAATTTTCGTATCAGGTTTATGTGTAGATTGGCTCTTCAATAGGGGGAAAAAAAAAAGAAAAGAAGGCATGTTGTAGAGAAAGCATTAGCAAATTTTTTAATATCAAACATCAAAATTTACAGTCTCATCTTTCTTCCTATAAATTGTTCATAGCTCCTTGTCATTCAATACTATTAGTACAACTATATGTCTAGCACAAAGGAAAGAAGTGTTAAAACTTGTGTTCATCATTTCTTTGTTGTCCTCCTTGGTGATAAATTGCATGGAAAGGAATGACGTTGATGAATGCTTCTTTTTGACGGTCATGCTTCTGGTTAGATGCAACGGAAAGGGCGCAACTTGATTGGGCTAAATGCTTCCACATTATTCAAGGTATTGCTAGAGGGCTTCTACATTTCCATCGCGATTCTTGTTTAAGCGTTATTCACAGAGATTTGAAGGCCATCAATATTCTCTTGGATGATGACATGAATCTAAAAATTTCAGACTTTGGGCTAGCGTGAACTTTCCGAGTTACACAAGAACTAGCAAACACTTACAAGGTAGTGGGAACATTGTAACTGCCCTTTCTTTCCTTCAATAGATTCTGCTTACCTTTGCTAGCTATTTTTCTGCTGATGCAGTTATGTATGATATGGAACATTTCATGTTTGAAATAGTACAAATAAAAGTATAATGGAAGTAGCCATGAGTACAAATCACAACAGGCTCAATGCTTTGCAAATGGGCTTAAAATATATCGTGGATTGGGACGGAGACTAGAGTTACAAATGAGGCTAAGTAGTTAGATTATATTCATTTCAATAGATAAGTATTATTTTTTTTCATCCTCAAGGTGTCTTATCTAGTGAAAAGATTGTATTATGTTCAATCCTATTCAACAATATATGAACAATAAGCTACAGCAGCACCATGGGATTGTCCATGTTAATAATATAGCATCAAACACCACCTTTACTTTTTATTGGCAATGAAAACCTTTTCACATTTGCATCTCAATTATTCTACAACAAAGTCTTGCAAGGCATAAAAAATTATTATCAATTATTCTACAATGAATTGCTCATGCCATGATTGGTGATAATGAAAAGAAAAAACAAAAATATAAAAAAAAAAAGAAAAAAAAGAAGAAGAAGCAAACGCATCTATTGGCTATTGCTAAATAGCAGGAGTGCTCTCTCTTTTCTCAACCTTCTTTGTATGTCCACCCCTCCCTCTGATTGGTTATCCTCCCTCCTTACCTCCATTACTGTGTTCTTATGTCAACATTTTGCAGACAAAACAGATTGAAAAGAATGATCTCAACATTATAGAAAGCAGAAGTCCCTCTTCTATTAGTTCATTTACATAGACGGCTAACCGGTTACTACAAAACAAGCAAACCACTAGAGTGCAATCATCTTGTTTCATATAAATTTTGTTATTTGCTTCTTCTTCCTCTTTTTTTTTTAAAAAAATAAAAATAAAAATAAAAAAAAAAATTAAAGCAGTATATGTCATGCAGTAAATAATTTTTTCTCCTATAAATATATATATTTAGAATAGTTACCTTACATTTATTGAACATCTTATAATCTCGGGTAAGTATAAATGTAACAATTTCCAATCAAATGAATTGGCTATATGTTTTCTAAGTATGCAATGAGAGGGTTATTTTCAAAGAAGTTAGATGTCTTTTGTTTTGGTATTTTGCTACTAGGGATTGTTTGTGGATTGAGGAATTATAGTTTTCAGTATCATGAAAAATATTTGAACCTCTTTGGTTATGTGAGTGCACTAATTTTATCTTCACTTGATTTCAAACACTATTAGTTACCACCATTATACGTGCTACTAATTTCATACATGAAGCATGTGGAGCTATTCTAGGAATGGCAATTGTGCAACAAAAACAGGGCATCAGACATAATGGATGAAGTATTGGTTGGCTCATGTTCCGAGTCAGAAGTAATGAGATGCATACATATTGGCCTTTTTTGTGTTCAAGACCACGCTGCAAATAGACTAACCATGTCAGTTGTGCTTCTCATATTGAGTAGTGCAATGGATCTTCCACAACTAAAATAGCCCATATTTAGTGTTCAAAGCTTGTTGGACGCTGATCTTTGGTCAAAACGCAACAAAATATGTTCCGAGGTCCTCTATCAATAATTGAAGGGCAATGACCTATTAACAAATCCTGTATATGTCTTCATAAGTATGTTGGTATTATTGTACAACAACATCTACAAATATAGGAAGGAGTATACTATTATAACTAAAGTTTGAAATCATTGTTATGTAACACAGATAATCTTATGAGATTGTGAGTTGGGTATTAGTTTCAGAACCCCAACAAGTATTTTTTGTTGGTCTATCTTCTGTTCTTTTTCTTAATTCTATTATGCAGCCAACTACATTATACAGGACCAATTGATTAGAGATTGTTTGTTTGATTGGTTTCTTTGGTCCTGGAAATTTAACATCTAGATTTGTTGAAATATTGTGTTTTTAAAACACAGCTTCATGAAATAACTTTTGGATAAATTACAGTGACTTCTACAATCAATTTCATAATTTTGACATAATTACAACAATCGACTTTAAGATATAAATTACAAAATCATTTCAACCCATTCTCCATTAACAAATGAAAATAGATGATGTTCATATTTTATACAAAAATATCTAGTTTACCTTTCATTATCCTTATATCCAAACATTCCCTATATCTAAATACTCGTGTTCCATATGTGGTGGACAAGCAGAGTGCGGCTGTTTATTTTTGGTTTAGTCAAATCTAGTACTTTGTGCCTTTGTTTCGGCCCTACTTCGAAGCACACTTTGGTGTTACTTCCGCAAAGCTTCATTTATTTGGTGAGGTCTTTCCTCTTGATTATTTTGTGGTTATAGGAATCCACCTAAGGGTGGTTTGTGAGACCATTCGTGTCTCGTTTGTAATTATTTGAAAACTTTTGGTTGATAGTGGAATCATATTTCAATCCCGTAGACATACCTCACATTGAGAGAACCACGTAAAATTCTCATGTCGTTGTTGATTTAATTTTTCCACATTAGTTTTTATTTCCATTGAATGATTTACTTGTGGGAAATCATGTATTTTCCCCTAACAATTGGTATTAGAGCTTACAGTTTATCTGGATTTATTTATTTGTGTAAATAAATGGAAGGGAATGTGGGTCATATGTCTAGCCTCAATGGAAATAATTGGGTTACTTGAAAAACTAAAATGGAGGACCTATTATTTTGTAAAGGTTTGTGTGGGCCTATTAAGGGTGATGGTGGCAAACCCGATGGTATGAAAGAAGATGAATGAAAAATGCTTAATCGAAAAGCCATTGTCGTTATTCATCAATGGATTGATGACAGTGTGTTTCATCATGTTGTTACTAAAACTTCGGCACATGACTTATGGAAAACATTAGAAGGCCTTTATGACAGAAAATTAGCCACAAATAAACCCTTTCTATTTCGAAAGTTAGTTAATTTTAAAATATAAAGATGGCAATCCTATGCCGGAACACTTGAATGAAATAAATAGTTTTGTTAACCAACTTGCTTCTATGAAAATTCTTTTTGATGATGAGTTGAAGGTTTTGATGCTACTTAGTTTTTTGCCCGAAAGTTGGGAGACTTTAGTTGTGACAATTAGTAATTCAGCATCCGATGGAGTTGTCACAATGAGTCAAGTCATTAGTAGCTTGTTGAATGAAGGAACTAGAAGAAAAACAGCCATTTCTTCTCATTCAGAGGCATTTGTTGTGAGAGGTCGAAGCAAAACAAGGGGGAGGAGTAATACTCCTTATAGCGATTCTGGTTTAGACCTGACCCACTTGATGTTCTAGATTTGGTTTTCATTGTCTTATACAGTTGTTCATGTCTTGTTTCCCTTTATCTCTCTTTGAGTTGGGCTATTGGGATGTGTTGGTTGCGTTTGGAATAGGTTGGTAGCTTGTTTTTCAAATAGTTGTTACCTAGAATTTTGCTTTTTCACTCAAGCATCACTTCTTGCGCTCGAGCGGTCTTTGTGTACTCTCAATACTTTTTCAGGTCTGCAAAACTACTGGGAAGTGGTATTCCATACTCGAACGAAACTTTTTGTGCTCGAGCGATGTTGGCTTGAGCAGTCCTTATTGCACTTGAGCATTGGTCTTCTGTTTGTAAAACTTCTAAGAGTTTGTATTGTTTGCTCGAGCAAAGCTTCTTGCGCTCGAGCGGTCACATCTTTTGTGTCTGGACGCTTGAGCGACACTTCTTGCGCTCGAGCTGTCTGCGCGTATATTAATCCGTAAAAGTCACTTTTTACATCACTTTTTCATTTCTCCCTCTCTCTCTAAACATTTCAAAACCCTAAGTTAAGTCCATCTCTCTCACATTCTGTCTACAAATTTACCTAGATCCATCAATCTTTTCACCTCTGTCCCTTTGTTAAAAAGATAGATGTAACGCCCTGCCAAAACCATACAAGAGCATACCAAGACAAATACCATAATACATCCCCAAAGGTCATTTTTCTCATTGAACTAAGATTTAAGAGATTACAATTCAACATTTACATTCCCAAAACATCTTGAGTTCACTTTCCAGTTCAATAAACTAGATGGCCTTACAAAAATAATAGGCCTCAAGGGCATACAGAATATGAAAACAAATTCAAAAGTTTATGTACAATGTCTTCCATATTAACAACAAAATATCCTTGAACCATCTTCCCAAATTAAACCACTGCTAGTCTTCCCAACTCATCAAAGAGGTAGTGTATCATCAATTCCTAAAAAATAAAATAGGGTTGAGCTATATGCCCAGTAGGAATATGTTTAACCAAGAATTTAATTATTTGAATAAGCATGTGACATCATTGAGGCAGAACAAAATAATGAGTTTATTTACACACGTAATTATTGTCAATAATGTGAACACCATAACAATTGAATAATCACATTTACATCTCACATCATTCATCATCATAACAAAAGAAAATGACCCATGAGTCCCTTGTAAGAGTCCAAGTTAAAAAAAAAAACCCAATCTTCTTTTGTTTGAAAACTTTCCTTACATTTGTCGACTATTATACGGCAGGACATGGGCACTCGAAAATCATCCTTTTTTTTCACTTTTGCCGACTGCTATACGATAGGATCAGTGGACACCCAAAAATATTTTTCCACATTCGTCCAGTAATAAGCCTAGACAGGGCATTTGGGCACCTTTAACTTCCCCTGTGAGTAGGAACCAACACAACTCACACAACACCAAAATCGACTCTTACCCAAACTCATGCTCAATGAACAATTCATAAAATTTCCATTCAATCATCAAACACACAACATTGTCAAGCAGGCAACACTAGATAACATGCAAGGGAACTACTACCTGAATCACAAATCCATTTCCACAATAACATTCATACATCTTATTTCCTCATTATTCAAGATTTTCTAAGACTTTAGTGAGAACCTTCAATTAAGTGCCATTCTCTACTAAATTTTAAATTAGGGTTTTA